TCACTCAGGCTTGGTTCAGTTCATTGAGTCTTATCAGCCCATTTAAGTACAGTTATCGAAGTGAAGGCATTTATGTGTATTCGATTCATCTCGTTTCGGACTGTTAATTTTGAACATTTCTTATTTAAAGAGAATTATTATTTTTAACTTATCTTATTTCTTTGTTCGAACTAAAGAAGTAATAATTTAATTTTTTGTTAATATTTTTTGCTGTTTTTGTAACTGACGTAAGTTATAAAATTAGATTATTTAGAAAATTATAAATTACTAGTTTTACCATATACTGTATACATTAGAATTTATTTGAGCTAAGGATAAAATTAAAAATGTATATTAGAATTATTAACGTCCCACTGCTGAGCTCGGGCCTTCCTTCAATGCGAGTGGGATCAGGCCATAGACCACGCTGAATCCACCATAAATGAAATATATTTAAATTAATTATTAATTTTAAATTCACAATTATTTACTGTGAATCAGACCATATTCCACTACACTGGCCAAGTGCGGGTTGGCGGACTTCACATGTCTTTTGAAAACTAGCTAGTTTCTCTTAGACAAACATGTTTCCTCACGATGTTTTCCTTCACCGTAATCATGTTGGAAACGATTCGCACAGGTGCGAGACCCGAGACTTAAACCCGCTTCCCTCGGTTTCCCAAGCGAGCGACTTACTACTGGGCTACCAATACTCCGATGTTATTCAAGTACTTATTCCTTTTTTTACGTATCGAATAGATATTTTTAATAATAAAAACTTTCCCTTACTTCGTTCGGGTGCGTCTTTGCGACCTGCATGTCTAACAGTAACATTAGCCTAGGTTTTAGTCTAGATCATAATCTACATTGGCCCCCTTTGATTTGTGTTCACCTTGTAGGCTCTGTTAAACCGATGAGTCTTACATAATCACCTGTATCTACACAGGTGTTACGCGTAAAAAACACATACACACACAAACTTTCCTAATTTTTTATTTATTTATATGTGGTTAATTCGTTCATGGTTGTGACATTAACACACAGCACCATCTAGTTCCATGGTAAGCTACGGGGCTTGTGTTATGGATACCAGATAGTTGATACACGACACATATATAACTTTAAATACATACATATCTATACTTACTTATAATAAATCTGTAGAGAGGTCAATTCTGTACATGAAATATATTTCCAAAATAACTATCAGGGGGTGATTAGGGATCGATACTGATGCCAAAAATGCAATCAGTAAAATTTTTGTCTGTCTGTCTGTCTGTCTGTCTGTATAACCGTTATAGAAACAAAAACTACTCGATGGATTTTAACGAAACTTGGTACAATTATTTTTCATACTCCTGAGCTGGTTATAGTATACTTTTCATCACGCTACAATCAATAGGAGCAGAGCAGTGAAGGGAAATGTTGGGAAAACGGGAGAAGTTACTCCATTATTTAAGCTTCCGTCGCGTGTGCAACCTTAATGGTTAAAGCTACACAGAAATCATGTATGACGGAAATGTTCTCCTTAAAATTATATAAAAAATATCCCACGACAGCATACGTCTATCTTTTATGGTTGACTCACAATAACACGTGTAACTCCCGATAGCTTAGCAGTTCGAAGCTTTCTGATTTATATTTGTCTACTCTTACGTTTATAACACTCTCAGTCATCCCTAATTAAAAAAGTTAACATTATAAACTATTCCATAAAAAAGAATCATAGAAATCGGTATAGAAACACCGAAGTTATACATGAAATACGCTAATAATAAGCCATCGCGAGTCAGGGGGATGTAAGAAGACAAATAGAACAAATCCAGATTTTTTTTCAATTTTTTTGTTTCTCTGTCTCTTTGTCTGGTTGTACGGGCTAATCTCCGAATCTATTGGACCGATTTAAATGAAATTTTGCATGGTGGTACCTTATATCCCCGGACAACGTCTTAGATTTACTTTTCATCCGGGAAAAATGAACGGTTCCCGTGGGAACTAATAGATTTCTATTAGTGTTTTTCTAGAGGCGAACCCGAGCAAAGCGAGGGTGAGCCGCTAGTTTTGTAATATTTTTCCGAATTTTATTGATTACTATGATTCTTAAAAATAAATTTATATTTATAAGTTTTATTAATTATTATTTATTACAGTCACGGTTTTACCTTCACTTTACTTCAAGCATCTATACTAAATAATTTTTGTTTCATAAAATTCGTGCACAAAGACTTAATTCTAAAACACAGAACACATATGTTAATTCGACACGTTTACTTAAAATGTTTGTATGCAGTTACAAGTTGACAAGTATTAATTACAATTATTCATAGCTTTTATTTTTAATAATTTAACATTATATTGAAAAAAAAAGTCAAATAAATTAGAAGTTAATAGATTTATTTTTATACGTTCTGTAACATGTACTATTTTTTGTCTGATTTGATAAATTTCCTATACCTCCATACTAATGTTATAATAAATGTGAAAGTGTGTTTGTTTGTCTTTCTTTCACGTCGAAACGGAGTAACGAATTGGCGTGATTTTTGTGTGGAGATAGTTGGAGGGCTGGAGAGTGTACTTTTTATCGCGGGAGGTTATCTTACTTCCACGGAAAAACACGTTACAATACAACCAAAAAAAAGAAAATTATCAGAATTACTTAAAACTTGGTATTACTTACTGCTCTTCAATATTCGTACAATTAAAGAAATACGTGTTTAATTTTTCGAAATTCATCCCATAAGGGGGTAAAATAGGAGATAAAAGTTTGTACAACTCCTACCTTTGTACAGTTTTACGTAGTTTTAGCGCGAGCGAAGCCGCGGGTTCTGCTAGTTATAAATATAAACACCCATGACTGAAGTACAAACATTCGTGCTCATCACACAAAGGAATACAGCGGGACTCGAACCCGCGACTGCTGGCACAGCACGTAGGGTCACTATAAACTGAGCCACACGCGTCGTCAATTATAAGAGTACTTCGAATTATAAGAGTACTTCGATTAAAGCTACTATTGATATTGGTATATATTATTAGTACTCTATTATGGTAATGGGATGTTTTCCTCAATAACACAGCAAGGAATGAATTTTACGATCTCTGACTTAACCGGATCCTCATTTTTTATTGTTTGGCAGTTATTAATTAACTTTTTTGTTCCATTAAAGGGTATATAATTATAACTCGACTATTAGTAATTACGTAACCGTACCGTGGGATAAACTGGCTTTTGTCTTTTTTACATGTAATCTTATACAGCTTATATTATGAAGTTAATTTACTTATCGATTTTTTTTATATTATGGACTAATTATAATAATCTCTTATCTAAATCCTAATCTACAGCTACAATATCCATGAATTGTAAAAACCATAGATGAAATAATACTATACTAGATGTAAACAAAATATTTTTTATTGTACTTAATATATATGTACATATATAAGCAAAAAGTTTCTACCTAATTATTTTTAATATATTTTATTTTATTTTTAATATATTTAAGAAAATATGCTAAGATGCAGATAAATTAATCAAAAGTCCCAACATATATACTACATATATATAAAAGTATAATACTTATATGTATGCCAATTCTAATTACGTCTAATTTAGTGGAATCTCTATTAAAATTATTACTCTTAATTCAATTTATAAACGTTAAAGTGCTTTAATTTTAAGTGTATTTTACTTTACCCCAAAATGTACGAAAATTTATTTTACTAATAAATATCGAACAAATATTTTATCAATGAAAATACCTAAAACATATTTGCACAGATATTCTCTTTATTACTTTAACTTTGGACAGATATTTTATCAATAAAAATACCTAAAATATATTTGTACAGATATTCTACAGATATTCTCTTTTTTACTTTAACTTTGCTGTAACGATAACAATATGTTCTCAGCTGGTGAGTCACATAATAAGCAACTTGTTTCCATCCTATATCCAATATCTATTCTGAAGTATGTCTGGACCAAACTGTATCGTATTTCCTTCTACTTGAATAGATCTCTTTGTTTACAGAATTTGAAGCAATAAACATTGTAAGCGTTTTTTATTTATAGCATACTATCTAAGCCCATGGTTCCGCTCGTGTTTTACTAGTTAGGTGCGATAATCATTATAAATTAAAAATTTAAAAAAATACTACGCAAATTAATTGTCATTTAACGATTATACTAGCACGCGTGAAGCACTTAATCGAGTGATCACACGCCTAAATGCCTTACATCATTTTGGAAAAGAGCTGATACTCTAACACTGCTGGACCGATATTAACCAAACATAGCTAAGAACCAACGCAAGGAAACTGGCTTTCAAATGAAAGAAAACCGCATCGAAATCGGTCCATCCGTTTGAGAGCTACGATGCCACAAACAGACACCCACACACATACACAGACAGACAGTCACAGTCAGTCAACATCGACGTCAAACTTATAACACCCCTCTATTTGCGTCGGGGGTTAGAATAGCTTATTTCGCTTAAGCTAAATGGTCATTTAAATTTATTTTTATTTTATCTCGTTGGGATCCTTTCCTGGGAGAAATATAAGATAAAAAATTAAAACCCGACTACGGATAAAATCAAATTTTTTTGTTTTAAAGTACAGAAAATCATTCTTTTATTAATGTTGGGAAACGCATTTACGCTGGTGGTATCACCTGCATACATACAGGTGGTTATGTACGAAAATTTGATAGGCTATATATAGGTTTAAAAAAATCATTCAATATTCTAAAATACGTAAATAAGCGAAAGTGTTATAAGTACAATTTATTATAATTATTAGAAATGTACAGACTAATTCGATTTTTTGTGTATCTATTTATTTTAGAGAAGATGTTAGAATCGACCTACAATTTAAAAAAATCCGCATCACCGTTTAAATGATGAACAATGATATATACTTTTTCAATAAAACGAAATAATTTGAATAATGAATCAGCAATAACTATCACCTGAGTTAATAATAATAAAGATAAATACGCTATAATAAGTTATACCAACCTTGTAATATTTAGCGGTTCTTCGATCGACGCCTGCGCCGGTATTATAAACAAAAATAGTGTCCACCACATAGTCACGTATTGTTTACATTTATTTTATAAACACTGCACTTAAGTTACAATACTCACTTATTGACTTAGAATGTTTGTGATAAATCAATTTTTATTTACATTTTTATATATTTTTCGGATTACATTTTATTTTTCACTAAGAATGTTTAATTTTTGCTAATAACACCGGCAGACTTTTTAATGTCACGAATCACGATTTATCTAAATTCCTTTTTGACACTTTTTTGGCGCCAAAATAAAACTTGACAAAGATCAACAGTATTCAGCCATAAAATTAAATAGAAAAAATAAATTTTCAATATAATATTTAAATTATTTTAATTAAAAAGGAAATAGACCTGCGTTGCAAAGAGAGATGCGCTAGACTAGTTGACCGGCGCGCGCGCAGTCGCGAATGTGTATGGGCAGTTGTTGAAGACATTTTGTGTTTATTATTATTGGTATATAAATTTGGTATTTTTGAATACCCCTGTAATTTAATAACAGATAAAATTATTTTAACACGATTAATATTTTTCAATTATTAAAGTTTCTTCTTTAAAAAGTTTTTTCTTTCAATTTTAAAAGTTAATAGGTGTGTACATAGTGAATAAAAAAAAAACAAAAATTAAATATAGCGTTTGCTAGTCATGGTTAGTTTTTCTAAAATAGGTTCCATAATGCCAAGGATTATAGCATAGAATATAACAAAAGAAGGATTTTAACTTTTCTACAATAATATAAAAAAAAGGTATAAATATTTATTCCTAATATAGAAAGTCAGGGGAAATGACTATTTGGCGTAATTATAATATTTATTACTGTTATACCTTTTTTATTGTGACCTCGTTTGAGTACCGTTTTATGTATATTGTTAGCGAGATGCAGCGCATTATCAATAAACTAATAAACTTTGAATGACCATTATTCTTATTGACAGTTTTAGAGGTCCGTCATAAAATTATTGAGTGTTTTATTTTTATTTGTTCAAATTAAATATGAAATCGTATATAAGATAATTATCATCGTAATGTGATCACATTATAATTTGTTAGGTTTATCTTATATTTATATACTGTAGAGTAAAAAATAATTAAATTACAATTTATTCAGTACGAAAGTTGGACTAGGTGGTTAATGTACTCCACCCCGACGTGCGTTCACCTTGTCGTGGTGGGGGGGCTCAGTAGTGCCCGGCAATACAGCCGGGCGCGAAGCCAAGAAACGCACAGGGAGGTGGCCGCCTTCGGTGGGCGGTGGGAGGTGGCCCTCTTCGGAGGGCGGTGTACCATGCGGGTTGCTCCTGGTACTTCTCTGATAGTAGAGTGGACTTTGGAGCAACCCCATGGTCGTTGTGGTCTGCCTCGGCAGACCTGCCGTCGGGGCGTCGTAGTTGAATGCGTTAGCGATCCTGCGACGCCCCATTAAGACGGGGGAAAGTTTTAGTGGGTAGTACTGGCTTCGCCGGTGAGTCCCACACCTCGTGCGTAAATGCATTTCCCAACGTTAAAAAAAAAAGGTGGTTAATGTACTGATAGTTAAAGATACGATTTTTTTTGGTCGGACGGTGTATTTTAAATATCTGTTTCTATACTGGAACTAATGTGTTCAATCGATAGGGAAATATACATTTTATATTAATGATCTAACTACCTACTTCGTTGTGTAAGTTTAAAAAAAACAAGAAAAATAGTGTTGTGTTATAAACCTAATTCAATTATTTATTTAAAAAAGTATCATTGAAATCATTTGTATTATATAGGTATAGGTATTCGACGACACGTTTGGCTCAGTGTGTAGTGACCCTACTTGCTGTGCCAGCGGTCGCGGGTTCGAGTCCCGCTGGGGGCATTCATTGTGTGATGAGCACGAATGTTTGTACTCCAGTCATGGGTGTTTATATTTATAATATGTATGTATTTAAAGTTCATATATGTGTAGTGTATCAACTATCTGGTATCCATAACACAAGCCTCGTAGCTTACCATGGAACTAGATGGTGCTGTGTGTTAATGCCCCAACATATTATATAGGACTAGATTTTGAATGGAAAGAGTAAAAATAGAAAGCTAAACGTTTTAATAGGTAATTAATTAAATGAGAGATATTCTTTAGGTATTTAACGTGATTAAGGTAGCAGTATCATTCCTGTGGCAGCTGTAAGTTACTAAGATTGAAATGACGCATGAAAGCTGACGCACAAAGAAATAATAAGATTTTGATTTATATGTTAGTAGTATAAAAAGTTGATTTATTGTTAATTTTTATAAGTTTGAAATATTGTCAATGAGATGATTAAAACGTATTTTTTGTAACAACATTAATAAGTGTAATGACGTTAATAGACGTTAATAGTTCATTAATTTTATTCGCGACCATGATTGTTTTTTAAATAAACAAAAAAATTCTACCCTAGTTAATAGTTCTGGAAACGTTAGTAAGTTTATGTATTTATTTTTGTTAACGTTCGTGTTGTAATAATGTTTGTGTCTCCTAAAAATAAATAAATAATTTTAAAAACCATATCTCGAGATCTGTTTTCAAGTAAAATAACTTTTCCATCTACTTATATATATTTTTATTTTATTTCTTCTGACATTGTTTTAAAGTATTTTCTGGCCTCAACGGTTTAAGTCATCTCCATACTACTTTTTAGATACATCACTTGTACCTACTACACCTACATCTAAATTCTAACTAGCTATCGTATCGACTAAACTGAGCATGTGGAATTCAGATGGCGATAACATAATTTTGTATTTTCTAGCTGATCTGACAATGAATGTGATGATGATGATGAATGATCTGGAGGTGGATAGTGTAACAAAAGAGTTGGCTTAAAAATTTGACGAAGGCCTCCATCCATCCGGCCTTTTTAAACTTCTTAAAATACCTGTACGTCTTGGTTAAAAGCGTAACTTATTAAGTTTTAAAATTATAATTTTTATTCAATTAGTAATTTTCAAATATGTTTAATATTACGTTTTTAAAACTGTAAAAATGGTTCTTCCCCACTGGTTAGGTTAGCAGGTCGAGCATTGACCGAGTAAAACAGATCATGATATAAGCAATAAAAGCTATCACATCTCACGCGTTAGCGGTACATTTCATATTCTATTCATTGATTAATTAAGCTATTGATAATTTGCAACACTGATAATAGTTTTTTTTTAATTTAAATACCTAAGTATATTTTATTATACACTAGCGGCTCACCCTCGCTTCGCTCGGATTCGTCTCTAGAAAGACAAAAACAAATCTGTTCTATGGGAACCGTACATTTTTCCAGGATAAAAAGTAGCCCATGTGTTGTTCTGATGTACATAATATGTAGCTATATTATTGTAAAGTTTTATTAAAATCCGTTCTTTAGTTTTTGCGTGAAAGAGTAACAAACATCTAGCTATACATCCAGACACTCAAACATCCTCACAAATTTTAACATTTATAATATTAGTAGGATATTAGCATGATAAAATTACACTTTTAAAAATATATTGTACACTACACTCCGTATTGATAGAAATATCTAGTATAGTATTATTTATGATCTGTGTTAATACTATAGTTTTTGTATTTGGAATTTACCATTCATATTTTCAATTTTGTATAAGATATTAATTTTTTTTTAATTATTTACTAATATCAAATCGTTCTAAGCCACTAAAGAAAGAAAAAATATTAAGTCGATTTTTGAGATTTAATTATTAACAAGTAAATCTAATAGAAGCACTATAAAGTTATTAGTAAATAGGCACACAAATAATAAAAATATAATAATTTTACTAATGGATTATTTAAATTACTTTAATAGTTCTAAATGTATAAGCATAAACATACAAAATATACGTACAAATAATTTTATATTGTGTAAGTTCAGTTTTTTTTTTTACGTATATTTAATTACAGCGCCATCTGTACTTTATTAGCGATAACTTTTTAAAGAATTTGCTGTTAGTTTTGTTCTTCACAGAGGTATAAATATTGTTCGCGAGATGACGCTAAACGATAAGTTAAATAAAATACAAAAATATAAACTTTTATAAGCTTATGGCAGTTTTTTATTTACCTGTAATTTAATTCTCTCATCTCAATATTTCGTTTCTAATTTATGTACAGTTATATCTGCGAAAGGTGCTCCTTTATAATACTAATATAGTATTATATTATTATCTGTGGTTATAGTATTAATATAGTTTCTACATAACTGAGTAGGTGGCGCTGAATAAAAAATATATAATAAAAACATCAGAAATCAATATCGTAAGTTTATTATTGCTAATTAATTATATTAGCCGTGTCCAATAAGAATTTAATCTTGAAATGAAAGATATATCAAAAAGTTATAGCTGTTCGCATTTACATGTTGGCTCAAGATCTCATATTATAATCTGATTTCTATAATCTACATGACAGATTTTTAGACGTTAAAATATGTGGCAAAAATCATGTTTTTATAAATATTTTGTTATCAAAACAAAGATTCTACAAGTTAATAGCTTAATACTTATCATTCCGAGATTTGCCTCTCTTTTCCTTATTGGACTAGCCTTAATTTAGTAAGTAGGTACATATTATGTATAAGGTGCTTATGTTTTATTTAAGTACGTAATTTTGATGAAAAATTGCAGGCTTAGAGGTAAAAATTTTACTTTTTCCATAGAACTATAGAATACTAGCGACTCACCCTCATTTGTTTGGGTTCGTTCCTGAGAGTCCATAAAAACTTTTATCCCCATTTTCGCCCCCTGATGGATGATTCCCGGGATAAAAAATATCCTATAACCTTCCCAGGATTTCAAACTATCTTCATACCAAATTTCATTTTAAACGGTTCTGAAGATCCAGAGATTACCACCTAACCTCACAAACTCACAAACTTTACCTCTTTATAATATTAGATAGTATAGACCAGTGAAATACCCTCGCTTAGCTCGGGTGCGACCCTGGTGCGTAGGTTTTAAATAAATAAAAATTAGTTATTGCGAGTGTATCTTAGAAGATAGACATATGCTATTGTA